CAATAGGCCAGGTCTTTGTGACATCCCTGACGATACTGATGTCACCGAAGGGGCAGATATTCGTGGACAAAATATTGCTACTATCCTTGCTTTCACACAGCACCACACAAATCACACGGCCCTGGCTGTGGGATGGAACATGGGTAGTAGTAAAAGGGAAATGTGGATCACTTCAAAGCCACCATATGGTTTTGATTTGTTGCTGCTGCATGATGCATCCACTTAAGGACAACAAACGCCATACCAGTGACTGACTCTGGCTCTTCAATGCAAATTATGAAATTGTGCCAATTGTGACGCATTCAAACGATATTTGAGGTCATGCGCAGAGTAGATAAACAGAGAAGACTTCCCATGACTTTAAATGTCCATTATATTTTTTTCTCCAGCACTCTGTCAGTGCAAGGCCATCAGCTGATGCATACTATTTTAAAAGAAATGGCCTGTGGTCTACTGAGATGAGGTAAAAAAGGTACATTGAGAGGTACTCTGGTACATTTTGGTGATAGACAAATTTAGGTGTTATCCTAATCCTTCTCGTTTGTGGTTGAAAACTGTCGTCACAGCCTCTACTTCGGTGCTATAGAAATTCCATCGTCCAGGTACTTGGATCGCTGCTCTCTGAGCGGCATCGGTGGTGTAAGCCAGACGATGCTCTATCCTGTAAACGAAGGTGTGTGAGATGACAATGACGTGCCGTTTCATACACATACACTTTCATGCACAAGCCTTTAAGATGAAATGGTAAGACACATATTGCAATTACTTAGTACTTGTGGTTTGATGGTGGGTCAGAATTGTAGCATAGTGGGCTTATGCGGGCTGGATCGTTAGCTAGTCGGGGCGGGCTGGACCACGGGCTGGTATTTTGGAGAAAGCTGCGTCTATAGCCCCTACCAATAAGGGAGGCTTGTAAAGCAGGTGCGGAGAAAGCATGGTGACCATAGGTATATATTTGGCACATGCTCCGCTACTTTTCTTATGTTTCGTGATTTAAAACAAACTTGTGCTTGATTCAGCTGTTGCGAAATCGATTCTGACTCTGACGTCTGGCACACGGAGTCGGCTCCGACTTCAAATCCAAGGAGTGCGGCACAATTCGGAGTCCATTCCGGTTCTGGCTCAAATAATTATGACTCGATATCGGAATCGATTCCGATGAAGTAAACTCCGACACACTCGTCCGATGTTTCTGTTTCCGATAAACGACAACTCCAGTCGTTGTTGATTGGGTGCAAAAGGCTGACTCATCTCCGAATCGAACTCACAAATTGTGAAAGGAACCGAGTTTACGTTGACTCGCCGCAAGTTGTGTACATTATGTGGACTATGCTCTGAATGCTTGGGATCATGTAAGGAAGTGCGACTTCTGCACCGGCAATGATTAAGCCAAGATAATGAAGGTCGGCAGCGCGTTCAGCTAATTGTACGATGACGCCACGAAAGCAAAAGTGATGTTGTCTCAGGTGCTTGTAGAGCCATGCTATCGGTAAATATGGGGTAACAGAGATGCAGTTTTGCCGAATGCGCGAGGTTGAGGGGTGGAAGGGGAAGGGAGGAGAGCGCAGGAAGAAAAAATGGCTGAGCCTGCCTCCGAAATGCACTTAAAGCAGTTTTCTCTCCAGATTTGACGCAATTTTACGCAGCTAGCAGTTGGACCGTAGCTCCCTCACATCGGTTTTGGCGGCTGAGCTCCCAAATTATCATAGTGAAAAAATGGATGAAGTGATAGCTAAAAAGGAAACTGCATTCCTGGCTAGGAGGCATAATTCCGCACGCCCCCCCCCCCCCCAACTGAATCGGAAACTATACGCCTTTAGGCTGGTTATGTTAAGTATGCCTTTATCTGATAATGCTGTTTGGTTTGTCTCAACATTCATTCAGTGTTTGATGGCCAGCAAATAAAACTTAAGTGCACATGAACTCCCGAAACGAAAATGTTTGATGGTTATGCCGCATTGCATCCAGTTTGTGTTTGCCTTTTGTGGATTATTGCATTTAGAGATCTATTGCAACAGTTTCTGAAAGATTTGACCCCAGGTGACAATTCAGACGGTTCCAAATTTCGTCGATGCCTGAAAAGGTACTTTTTCACTCCTGGCGAACGCGATGAAAAGCTCCAACACGCTGAACGATGTTTTCTCAATTAGAAATGACCCCGCTTAAAAGCGACCTGGAAGAAAAACTAAGCTCTCTGACAAACCGGTACAGATGAAACGATCGTAGCATCTCATTTAACCTGTCCTTTGCAAGGTTACTAGCAGGGTTCAGCTAATTACAATTTAAATCACCCATGACGACGATCGGTCCGGGGTGCCGTAGAAGTACTCGCTGATATAGCCGCTCCAATGCGTGAATTCCACCTGCAGGGCAGCGACGGAGCGGCGCGAAAGTCGGTAGACTGCAGCCACAGTGAAATGCAGACCGGACTCCGATCTCACACGCAGCCAGAGGGACTCTGACAGTCCGGGCACTGTCGCTGACTTCAGCCGACAGTGCAGACGCTGTCGCTGACTTCAGCCGACAGTGCGGACACTGTCGCTGACTTTAGCCGACAGTCTGGACACTGTCGCAGATGCCGGCTGGGTGACAACAGTGGTATCGACAGTGGCTTTATGGCATTCACGGCTTAAGATCACCACATCTTCACAGCCGACCTCTCCTGGCCGGTTGTGAGCTCCCAGCTGAAGCGTTGCCACCACCACGTGACTCGCCGCTTCACCTGTTGGACTATAGCGCGCGCAGGACGCTTGCCGACCTCCTCGGCTATGAATCTCTCCGCACGGTGCGGCGCATAGCCGGGGGCTGTGGCCAGCCCGGACGCAGCGGCGGATCGAGGCTACGTCTCGATAATCACGCAAGAGTCGCAATGCAGCCGGTTTCGATGGTCATGCTGCGGTGGAACCATCTTCGGCAGCTGGGGGTGGATGTTAATCACTCCCAACAGCGGGTTCCGACGACGACCGTCCGGAGAAAAGCGTCGCCACGTCCGCAGCCTGCTGGCTGCATGCCTGGCGGCAATTGCACGATTGGTGTGGCTGCAGCCTGCAGCCCCGCGCCGCGGCGCAGAGGCTACGGACTGCAGCCCGCGCCGCGGCGCAGAGGCTACAGCCTGCAACCACGCCTCGGCGCAGAAGCTGCAGGGCCGGTCGCCCCTGCAGCCTGGGCGCCTGGTGCCGGCACCGCGCCTGCCATCGGGACGCGTGGAGTTTTGCGCGCGCGCGGCCTGCAGGACCGGGTCATGGCATCAATTTTGGGGCCGTGCGGGACCGGCGGGGTTCCGCCGGCGCGTACAAACACGCTCCATTGGCAAACCACAGGAAACACATTGCAAAAAATGGCCAAAAACTGCTGGAAAGTATGTTAAGACTCGGTTCGTAGCTCGGCAACGGGGAACGCAGTGAAACGGGGTAAGTGCACTTCTACTCGAAAAAGAACAGTCGTGAACTCAGAAGTGCGAATGGATGAGGTTAGCCTCACACGCGAGCTCGAGTGTAAACAAGAGATTTTTCGATTTTGGGGCATTTTTCATGGTTCATGGCAGATTTCGGTGGCCCGCGCGGGTTACCTGACACCGAGCAACACCGAGTGACACCGAGTGAGCCGTACAGGTGCGTGCACCGTCTACAAATCGTCAAATCAGTCAAACGTTGTCAGACCAATACGCCAGAAATCGGCGTTTAGGACAGCCAATGCTAAGCTTTTTCGAAAATGCAACACAATCTCGAGCGCATGACGCAGCTGCCAAACCAAGCATGCTGGACCGGTGAGAATAAAACGGAAATAAAGACCAATTCTCGTTGATCAATACCCACCAAAATATGCGCGTTACCAATACGTTGAAAGCAGTCGTCCAACACACGAGTCCCTGCGAAATTACCTGCTTTTGTCAGTGGAGAATGCCGCAGTTATTTGCCATCCTACTACCAACTACATATTAGCGGTTTTTACGATGGGTTAATGTGCGATGGGCGTGATCTGTATAACCTCACACCTGTAAACTAGAGAAGAGTGCGCAAATTATATTTTTCCTCGGAGGGGCTACGGAAAAGATATAATGCACACGGCCAGGAAGACCCTACACTGCAAAGCGAAGCTGGATTTCGATAATATAGTATAAATGGTCTTATTCCCTAGGAGAAAAACCAGGAGAATTGAGATATAGATGTGTTGATATTCGGCAACATGCCTTCATCGAAACAAAAAGCAAACGTGAATTCGATAGAAGTGAATCCACTTCTGCTATTCGCTTTGATAAAGGTGCGTTGCCGAAATATCAACGCACTTATGTGTAAATTTTCCTTGTTTTTCCAGGGGAATAAAATTATCCCTACTGTTATATATGCGCATAATGCTCTTCCCAGGTGCACTGTCTGCACATTGTCACTGTCAGAAGTGACGGGCTATTGAAAGGGCGAGCATCCACCGAGGGAGGCTTCCCCACCATTCATCCCTACACTCTGGCCGTCCACGATACGACACAACACACCCCACAGCTGAGTACCGCAGGGTACACCGTACAGCAAAGCACAGCACATCACCGAAAAGTACAGTGCAGTACATCATAGCACCGCACAGCACAGCTCAGCACCGCAAAGCAGAGCACAGCACATCACGGCTCAGGACGGCTTAACACACCCCAGCACAGCACAACATAGCAAACAGCGCAGCATAACGCGCGACACCGCATGACACAGCACAGCACAGCACGGCAAACGGCGCAGCATAACGTGCAACACTGCCGAACGCAGCAAAGCACAGCACAGCACAGCGCACAGCGCAGTCATCACCCTCCCCTCGCCTGAGCACCGCACGGAAACCGAGGACGCACCGGGCCGCGGCCTGCGGGGGTTGAATGAACTTCTGTCGTCCCGCACTATGACCGCTCGCGCTCACACGGAGCGGCCGCTTCCCAGCCGCGAAGCCTCCGGCGCCGCGCGCGCACCGCTGCCACTGCGCGCGTCGGGCACCTCCAGTCAGAAGATAGCGCGCGTGGTGGGAGCAGCGCGGAAAAAGAGCGAGCCGGTACTTTTTGCGGGGGAAGGTGTTGTGATAACGCGTCGGTGACGTGGCGGTGATGTAATGCAGTGCCGTAAAAACGGAGGATCAAGCCGTCATAGTCGACATGTGTAGTGGTTTTGATCGTGTGTGAAAATCGTGGCGTCCAGCGTGGTGGCGACATGTGGCCCTCAAGACATTGGTCACGGGAGGTGCGGAAGAAGGCTCTGCTGGCTGTTCTGTGCTGCTGTGCTCTCCTGGGCATCTTGTACTTGCGCTCTGCGGTCTCCCCGAAACAGGAGCAGAGCCACTGGAGGCAGCGGAAGGTTGAGTCGATGAGGTCGCGGCTGGAACCGGCGGCGGCGAGTCGGAGCACAGGACCCAGTAATGATGGCGCATTCTCAGAGAGGTTAGAAACAATGCATGGCGTGGTGTGGTAGAGACTTAAAAACACACTGCATGGTCTCTGACCCTTGCCTGAACAGTACGTTGATGTGAGCGCAAACGAGGGTTTTGGTGTCACCACTGCCTTTGATCGCTGCGTGTCACTTAAAGGTCATTCGTTGAGGTCATTTGTTAAAACCCATCACTGGCTTGGTCCCGTGACATTAGCTCTGCACAACAGGTGCATACTAATTCTTTGTTTAAAAAAGAAGCCAATTTTCCGCACGTTCCTCGTTCCACAGTGTCGCGTTTTTATGTATGTGAACTCAGAAAACTATTCGAGAAACAACGCTATTTGCTCCGTTGATTCTCCGCCAGCTATAGAGATTGCGCGTTTTTTGCCTGTAAAAATATGCGTAGTTCCATACACAGGTAAGTGAAATAATTCCAGTGGCAATGCAACTGTCCTTGAGCAGATTCCATAGGTACGAAATAACGTTATAAATGCGCGTTCAAGCCAACACGGACTTTCTGCATAATTAGCTTGGGCAGAGCTGTCAATCTTCAAGATGTCAGAACAAATAGGCCGTTTTTAGCATCTAACATGTCAAGATCTAGCGGTGTTTTATCGTGTTGCTAAGATATGCCGAACATAAGCGTTAAATCGTTGGATACGTAAAAGACGTAAAGTGCTCTCAAGCGGATGGAGATTGCGGTCCGTACGTTGACATTGGACATGATCCTTAAATTTAGTTCTTCATTTTCTGTTACTATCGTGATTAATTTTGTTATGAGGGGGGAGGGGTGAACAGGAAATAGGCAAACCTATCACCCTATAAACTGCTTCTCCACGAATTTGACCCGGATCCTGCCTAAATCTGGCGGCTGGAGCCTAGTGTTCTGATACTCGACGACTCGGGTAGCAGGGATGTTTATATTTTTTGTGTTATAACAACGCGGCTTTGGGTTCACTGCCTGTGGCTCCTCCCTTTGCTCAAAATCGGCCAATCAGCATCGAGCCGGGTGGCTATCGAACCAGTATCTATGCGCCTCAGGCTTGAGAAATGGGCTGAGTAGGTCAGATGTCTGGGTGGGAGTCAAAGGGCGACAGATTAGCGCCAACGAATTGCGTGCGGGGACTGCCGGAAGGCCAGGATTCTGGTAGCATTAATTTGTATGCACATCCTGGACATCCGACTGCATGAATTTTGGACCGCTGCTGGAGCCCCTCAACTGAACGATAACTACACCCCTGAACTGCGAGGACGCGCGCCAACAAACGGCTGGTCGGTGCTGCATGCGCTTTACCAAACTCCATATGGGCCTGGGCTGATGTCTACGTGTCCGCCGATAGGTGTCTAACACCAGTCGCCATCTCTCGCGTCGCGCCCCGGAAACTTCAACGTCTGAAATGGACCGTATCACCAAACCTCGCGATCAATTCAACCGTCTGTGGTCGGATCACGCCGAGACAATTCCCGCTGCACGACTGTGCTGGGGCTTTCGCGCCAATTACGCAGCCGACTGAACCACGTTTACGTAACAGACTTTGGCCCATTGGGCACAGACGGTGGCAGGTTCCTAACCCATCCGCGGGTGTGGCCAGATCTACAAGTCATGATCTACAAGTCATGCAACTGCCTGGGCGGTTTTGAAACCGCGAGCGGCCATCAGCGGCCTCCACGTTCCCTGCATGAATATTTCGCATAGACCAGTATTGCTCGGTCATAAAAAGCATGACGAAAGAACATTTGTGAGGCACAGGCCGCCTAGTGCTGCGGAACATGGTGAGAATTACTCGGGCGGCGATGACTTCATCGGAGAAAGGTCGCAGTCATCGGTATGTCAGCATAATGCGACCCACGGGAAAGCCACGGCCAATGTGTGGTGGTCGATACCGCAGGACGAAAGGTGGCTTTAACGGCGTTGTACGCTCCCAGAAATTCACATGACCTACATCGTGAGCCCACCTCGAAGAACGTCCAGTGGCGTATGACCGGATGAGGACGGGGCGAGGAGGTCAATAGTGTCCCCATCTTCAGCGACATCTAACTTCGTCACTGACTCCGCACGGCAAATTCGACGAAGAGCGTGTCCATCCCAGGCTGCTGGGCCCGGCTCGGCCAGGGTCGGCGGCGCCTCCCGTCGAGCCGGCTCTGGCGTCGCCCCTGCCGCAGCCCTTTGCCCTGCGGCTGGACGTCTGTGGTAACGGCTCGACACGCGCGGCTGTCGCCGCCCGGCGCCGGGACGGCCGGGGAGGGTGGAGATCCCAGGGTGGCCGGGGAGGACGGGAGGTCGGGACTCCGGAGAGTCCGAGGAGTCCAGGGGGCCCGGAAGCACGGGAGCCCGGGTAGGACGGACGGGGAGCTCTGGAAGACCAGGGAGACCGGGGAGACGAGAGAGACCGGGGAGACCGGGGAGGCCGGGGAGACCGGGGAGACCGGGGAGACCGGGGAGACGAGAGAGACCGGGGAGACTGGGGAGGCTGTAGACACGGGGGAGACCGGGGAGACGAGAGAGACCGTGGAGACCGGGGAGACCGGGGAGACGAGATAGACCCTGGAGACCGGGAGAGGAGACCAGGAGAGGGGCGAACGGCTCCCGGGATGGGTGCACGAGGTCCCGCTAGCGGTGGTGGGGGTGGGTGCCCTGCGAACACGAGAGACACGCCCGGCACCCGTGCGTGGATCTGTGGGGCAAAGATGGTCAGCAGGTCAACCACTGGTGTTGGTCAGCGACAGGCCAGAAGGCAAGGTCGGGGATGGGTGATGACTGGATGGGATGGTGATGATATAGGCGATGACTGGATAGGATGGCGATGAGATGGGTGACGAGTCAGCAGTTAGATCGCCGACAAAAGTTAGTGTGTAAGACTGCGGGAGGGTTCATGTTTCGGGGCAGAAAAGCTACATGGCTTATAGTAATTCCTTGGGAAACCTCCTAGCATGAGTAACGTGGTTTCTTTCTTTGGAAGTGGCCCCGAACTGTCAACAGATACCTACAGATGAGTGACAACAACACTAAGATGCCCGGATGTCGATTTGCATTCTTGTGTGAGGGCCCTGGCCCCCATTGTTGAGTGTCTCCCCCCCCCGCCGATGTTGGTTTGGCCCTACAAGGTTTTGGGCTGGAATGCTGCAAAAAGCGTAGTTAAAAGATGACTATCACACAAAGACTATCTTCTTTGGTCTTACTGGGTAGTGGCGCCGGCACGGAGGATATTCCGCACTTGAGGATGCGGTGTGGCTTGAAGCCCGTTACCTCAAATTATTCCCTCAAATAACGGGAAACCTTAAATCGTGGGGGTCAAACTTTTTAGGTATGACGTGTTTTGTGTCAGTCTAACATAACCCCAGACACTTATTCCCGCACACTAAATATGATACTGACGCCACTGATTCACTGATCTCGAGGAGACGTATGCCGTGAGTCGTTTTGTCCGCTGCTCACTAAAGGCTGTAAACCTAGGGTTGTTTTTTGCTTGGAATCCGACTTGCGTAAATTGTTCAGTGCATATGTGAGGAAGATTATTCACAAAGATAAGGCAGGAGTAAAAGCCTTATTTCTCGGAGAAAACCAGGAGAATGGGAATGAAGATGGGTTGAATTTCGGTGACATGCCAGAAGTGAATTCACTTCTGCTATTGTTTCGATAAAGGCATGTCGCCGAAACATGAACCCATCTATATCTCTATTCTCCTGGTTCTCTCCGAGGAATAAGGCTAATACTACTGTCATATCTATGTGAGATCCGACTTTCTTTACTGTCTCATGAGGAAATAAAAGCAGCTGACGAAATTCTACTTTTGGTGCGTCATCATTGCTTCAGACTTCAGCTCCAGCTATGGAATAAGTGTACAATACAAATACAGCAGGAACCAAAATGTTACTGGGAAATATCAAAATAGGATTCCCTGCTGAAAACAATTGCTTGTACTCGGAATAATCTTCCCATTATTGTAATAAAAGTGTAACGGACCCATTCTGCCTCACCCCTTATCGAAACAGCACAAAAGGAACTTTAACGTGTCGCGTAATGACTGCCGACTCTCGGCGCCCTGTGATCAGGCTGATGCTGTCAAGTCAGCAGCCAAATGACCCTCTTCGGCGAGCCATGTACGAACGCTTGTCCTGCACGGTGAACCTTCCACCGCCCGTTCCACCACAGCGCGAATGCGGTCAGCATAACTTTAGTTGATCTCAGCTCTACCGCAGTTGGGATTCGGCAATGTGGATTGTCTTCGCGGCAACACGCAACACGCAACAACACGCGGCAACACGCAACACGCAACAACACGTGGCAAGCGCAACTTCGCGGTTTTTACGAGCATGTTGTGCGTTGCAGCCAACGGGTTCACAGAAAGGAAAAGCCTATTAGCTGCCACATTGGTAAATTTTTCCCAAATGTATCGCCTGTGACCTAGAAATAGTTATGAACGGCTTAACTCGGATGAATGCATGCCACCATTTAAAGGAGCGTTGTTTTTGCTGTTATACATCACTGCACCTATTCTACCCTACGCTTTTTGCGGCAAAAATGCCGGAAATTTTAGTTTCATCTAAAATCCTTTTGTCATCATGTTTTTTTAAGTGTTTGGCCGCATTTTGTTACGATTTCTAGGGAATTCACAGATTTGGGTTTGAATGAAACTTTCAGACTGCAAAGGAGATGTGCATCTTGTGTGGAGCAAAAATGTTCTCATTTGATAGCGCGCAATCGTACGCATTTAAGTGAAAATTATCTTGTAGGATGACCTGTTACTTCTTCGCAACGCTGAGGGATAGCTAGCCTACATGAAACTGAAATGTCCTATAAAATGTGACATACATTCATTTCATGGACACTTACGCACGTCTCAGACGCACGACAAGTTAGCACGCGCAAGGATAACCGTTTAATTGCGACACGCCCAGGAGAGTGGGGTTCAGTTTGACCCCTGATAGAACTAGAAACACTAAATTCACTGGGTAGAAAGGCCTGCGTATGAAGCGACTTGTGCCAAATTTGAGGTGGAAATACCATAAA